ACCTCCACACCCCCCCCCCCCCTCCCCCCCAAAACAAAAAATTTCACGAAAACCATATCACAGAAACACTATAATCAAACCCTAACCCTATATCACATATATTGGTTAGGCCACTTGACCAGGGCAGGAAGGAAGGGGTTGAAGCACATATGTCATCATTGTCAAGCCATCAAACAAAGGGTAATGTCAACTCTTGATCCACCCAACTAACAACTGTATATCAAAGATCCATATATAAACTAGGAACGCAGATGAAAGCATGCCGTAACCATCCTCAATGTACCCTAATTTTCACTCATTTAATGATTTTAAGTAATTGCTAGTCTAATATTTTGTTTAAATCAAATTCAATTAGTTGGGAATTTTGTAAATCATATTTGATTTTTTATTATTATTTAATATAAGTGATTGGGAGAAAGAAGTTTACATAAATATTTATTGGCTGCTTGAAGGTTTCAAACCTTTTATTCAACCAATCTAGGGATAATTTACGTACCTTTTTTCTTTGTTATCAATTTGCTATGATGTGACTTATTATATTTTGACATGTTTTTCCTATTTATTTTTAAACGGTTCTGGTTCACGAAATTTTAGATGGAATCCCCTGATCAAAGTTTTCCATGTAGACTGTAGTTTAACATTTTTGTTACGCCCAGATCCTGAATGCCTCGTCGAAATTATTGATATTTCACAAATGAACTCAACGTGGAATCCCGCTAGTAATCACAATCATATAAAATAAAAAATCAGCAGAAACATAAATTACAATAAAAACTAGCTAGTTCACATGCAAACTAGTGGACCAAATATACCAAATCAACTATACGTTACAAGAATTCTACTTCCCAAGCACACAACCCAAACCGTCCAATCTCAAGGAAACCTTCTATGGATCTGCAAAAATAAAAATTAAATGAGTGTGTGGCCTTAAGATCTATCTAGTTAGCTCAATATCAAACCCAAAAAACTAACTATTTTCCCCGAGCAAAGAAAGTTAAGCCTAACCCTAATTGGTAAAACATATAGTCTTCGAGGCCAAACTACTCCGAAAAACCTATAAGTTCTCCAATAACAAATTATAAATACCAAATTTAGGGTTGAGATATCACAACCATAA